TGTGGGGTGCTTGTGCACTATAGCGGACTGAATGGTGGCTACCAAAAGATGTGTCCACGTCCTAACCCTTGGAACCTGTGAATGTGACCTTATTTGGAAAAGGGGTCTTTGAAGACAGAAGCAATTGAGTCAAGGATCTCAAGATGAGATCATCCTGGATTACCCAGGTGGGTACTAAATCCAATAGCAAGTGTCCTTAGAAGACTGTGGTCCCCAACCCCACCCAGTACTGGAACAAGGCCTGTTAGGAAGCGTGCTGCACATCAGGTCCATGGAAAAAACTGTCTTTCATGAAACTGGTCCCTGGTGCCAAAAAGGTTGGGGACCACTGCTATAAAAGACAGAAGAGGAGAAAAACCAGAGAGAAATCCATGTGAAGACAGAGGCAGAGGCTGGAGTGATGCAGCCCCAAGCCAGGTAACTCCTGGAGCCAGCAGAAGCCAAAGAGGCAGGGAAGGACCCTCCCCTGGAGCCTTCGGAGGGGCAGGGCCCTGCTCACACCTAGATTGCAGATTTGTGGCCTCCAGGACTGCAAGAGATAAATTTCTCTTTCAAGCCACCCAGTTTGTAGTCATTTGTTATGGTAGCCCTAGAAAACTCATGCACCCCTCCACCCTGAATCACAGCGCAGAGTCAGCGACTGAGGAGAGGGTCCCCCCTTAGAAAAATATCCCTCGGAAGTGAGTCCCTTCATACTTGAGCACTTATAATAAAGTGTCTCATCCTAAGGGGTGGCCTCTCCTTTATTCTGAACAGTAGAGGACTGTGAGACTCCCTCAATCAGTGCTAGTTTCAGATGCATATAAGGGTCACCTGGGAATTGGTGGAAGGGGGTTTCATAATTATTTCTGAGAGCATAGTCTCATCTATGCAAGTGCTGGACAACAGGTAACAAGATTGAAAGACGACTTTTAAAGCATCACAGTAAGTGGTTATGAAGTGACATCACAAACCTTCAAAGAGGAGCTATTCTAATGTTGCATAAATGAGGACTTGTGGCTTGGGATTAATTTTCAAGTGACGGCATCTTTTATAGATTTAGAAAGTGGGGAAATGGGGCATCACTGAATATTTCGGGTCACCTTCTACCCAGCATCTATGGTATTTCACATACTTCTCAGGGAAAGGCTTTTGATGTATGCTTCATTAGCTCTGCTTTGGGTCAAAACAGTGATTGACATAAAGAAAATGTAAACAAATATCTACATTTTGAATGAATCAATGAACTTCACTTTGATACAGCCTCCATTAACCCCATGGTTGGGCTGTGAGATGTCCTGGACCAGTGAGTGCTTCACCTAAATCTCAGGGATGGCAGAGAACAGACCAACGGAAACTTTGTGCAAACGAGAGATAGGTGGATCTTTCGCAGGGGACACAGGTCCAGCCCCCGTGGCCATGAAAGGGAAAGATTGATGCTGGGGGGAGAGGAAAGCTTTTCTCCCCAGGCCTGAAGCCCGGGGCTGCATCTCTCCAAGGCTGGGTTGGCCACAGTATGGTGGTGGTTGTGGTTGTTGATGTTATCTTCATGTAAGACTGTCCAGGCAGGGGTGGGGAACCTGCAGCCTTAAAGCCACATGTGGCCTACTAGATCCTTAAGTGTGGCCCTTTGACTGAATGCAAATTTTCCAGGTCCCCCACCTCTGGTCAAAACTCAGAAGATCTGGCCCTACAGGACCCCCATCTACAGGGAAGCACCTCAGATCTGTCTCTTCCTTTGCACAGGCTGAGGGCAGCTCTCTGGGTTGCGTGAGTCCTCCCCAACCCCTGCTGCCATTAATAATGAGTTGGACTGTCATTTCTCTTAGAGTAAAATACTGTTCCTCTATATGCATGTCTCTGTTAAAAGTGAGACAATGGAACAGGAAAGATGATTTATATCATGAACTCGAGAAAGGTTCCTGGTTGTTTAATACACAGATCGTCCTGGATTATCCAGGTGGGTACTGAGGATTACTTTGTAAATCTCTTAACTAAAATACGTCACTAAAATTGTGATTATAAGAAATCTGTCACATATACCAAGTTAAATATTCAATATGCACAAATAATTCTTAACACTAATGCCAAAAAACTTAATATCATTAGTTTTATTTATTTTATTTTCTCCACAAATAATTATAAACATTCGTAGGTTTTTTTAAAAATTACTGGCCAAGGCATTCATTTTTAACAGGATGGTACTGCCCCCTAGAGGGCATTTTGGAAATTTGCTGTTGTACTTTCAGTAGTCAGAAATGCAGGGACAAAGATGCCTGATATCTTGAAATATGTAAGACCATCCAGCACAACTGAAAGTTATCCTGCAGAAATTCCAAAGATCCTGTCATGTAAGCAAAAAAGCCCTTATAATTATCAGAGCCTAGAACTTAACCACATTTTACATGTGTTAAGTATTCTTTGCATAGTTTTAATATAGATTGAATTTTCCAGGAATGTCATTATCTTGCAAGTCGGGGAGAGATTGTACTTTGATTTGTTCTGAACTTTACCAGGAATTATTCACCATTTCATAAGATCATGTCGCCAGTAGCAATGTACTTCAATCAGTCTGTTTTTGCCACTGTCACATTCTTGGTGATTAGATATAGATATATGAGTATGAATATATAGATATATTTCTTAAGCCCTTGTTTCAAAACATCAAATATAAAAAGTAAGCATTGAGAATTTTTTATTGAATATTGTGTCATCTTAATTCCAAACTAATATAGATACGAGGGACTCATTCTTTCATCATATCTTCGGGTATAACAGTGCTTGAGTATTTACATATCGAAATTGAAATATAAACTATTTTATTATAAATAATTTCCTTTATTTCTCTTTTGTGTTCCAGTTTGGGCAATATCTTGCGTGTCACTAGATAATGTTATCTATAAATTGCACTTCTGGATGATAGAGGGCATTACAAAGTATTTTTAATCTTCACAAAAAATGTGTAACCCTGGATTAACAATTCTGATACTGCCATGCACAGTCAGATTTTAAGTCAAATAATAAATTGCTAAGCATTAAAACAGTGTGGATATTGTTGCAGGAGATAAAGCTCTTTGCAACAGAATAGAAATTGTCCTAATAGGTATACTGGCATGTAGCCTACTATATGAGTTTTTGTTTGTTTGTTTGTTTGTTTGTTTTTTTGAGACAGAGTCTCACTGTGTTACCCAGGCTAGAGTGCCGTGGCGTCAGCCTAGCTCACAGCAACCTCAAACTCCTGGGCCCAAGCGATCCTACTGCCTCAGCCTCCCGAGTAGCTGGGACTACAGGCATGCGCCACCATGCCCGGCTAATTTTTTCTATATATTTTTAGTTGTCCAATTAATTTCTTTCTAATTTTAGTAGAGACGGGGTCTCGCTCTTGCTCAGGCTGGTTTCGAACTCCTGAGCTCAAACAATCCGCCTGCCTCTGCCTCCCAGAGAGCTAGGATTACAGGCGTGAGCCACTGCGCCCGGCCAATATATGAGTTTTGAATACAAAAATGGAATATCAAATCAAAGATGAAATGAAAGACAATTTAATCCACAGTGTTGGAACAACTGGCTAAGACATATGTAAGATATGTAAAGCACTCTATGTGTTCCAAACTAAATTCTAGATGGATTAAAAGTTAATTTAAAAAAGTGAAATCCCAGAAGAATCTAAAGAAAATACCAGTGATGATGTGTCTAATAGCTAGCAGAAATCCCCTTTCTAGGCACACAAAGACAAAAATAATAAAGTAAAATATCAGCAAGTTTTCATAAATATTAAAAACCTTTCTATGAACCCCCCCCCACACACACACACACACACAAGACAGTGATGAACTGGAAACAAAAATTTGCAACATCTATGAGAATGGATTAAGATAGTTAATATAACATCAGTTCCTATGAATCAATAAGGAAAACAAATTCAATAGAAAAGGTCCAAGAATAAAATCATTCACAAAATTACAACTACATAGCTTAATAAACTTAGAAATAGTTTTAGCCTTACTAGTGGTAAAAGGAAGTGTAAATTAAAATAAGTCATCATTTTTCACCTGTTATGTTGTCAACAAAGGTTCTTTTAAGTGACAATGCTAATCGCCGGTGAGGAGTAGAAAAAAATGGATCTTCCCACATACTTGTGTGGGGGTGTGAGCTGATACTATTTTTGGAGGGCAGCCTAATAATAAGTATCAAGAGCCTTAAGAAATGCATAGTTTCTAACCCAGCAATTCCACTTCTAGGAAGATGCAGAAAATACTTGCGCCCTATGATGTTAGCACTGCATGCCAAGATAACTTCTGGGAGTAAAAATTAGAATTTAAACCCTTAAAACGGGGGCGCTGACACATTGCACTCTGTAAGACAGAATATTTGATGACAATTAAATATCACGCTAAAGTTCTGGCAAAGGCAAACGTGTGGGGAGGGAAACAGATCGGTGGAAGGGGGTGACTGCAAAGGAGCTTGAGAGAATTGGGGCGGACGGGGAGGAGGGGTGATAAAATGTTATATGTTTGAGCTGGTGGTTCCACGACTGTGGAAGTTCGTCCAAACTCATGGAAGTGTACACTAAAAGGGTGAATTTTACTTTATGTAATTACACCTCAATAAACTTGACTTTAAAAAAAATCTTGTTGAAGGATATTAAACAGCCTGGGGAAATTTAAATGGCCCATTAAATAAAGCGAGTAGTTCGCAGAGCAGCGCAGTGTGATGGGAACTTGGCGGCGCGGGGAGGGTGTACAAATTCAGGGGAGCCGGAAATGGATTGGAAGGAAAAGCGCCAAAACGTATCAGTGTCTGTCTCGAGAAGTGAAACTAAATACTGTTTTTCTCCTCGCGTTTCGTTTGATTTTTGCAGCAAACAGCTCTTCCGTTATGGGGAGAAATGTCACAACTTGGAACTATGGCCCGGTTGCTACGGCTGTCAGGCGCTTTAGAGCGCTTTTCTCTTCGGCAGAGCCATCCAGCAAGAGCGAACCCACCCGAGGGCGACAGAAGGGAGGGACGGAGACCTGGGTGTGGGGGCGGGGTGTGGGGCGACGCCTGCGCTGTGCTCGGGTCCCCATTGGTTGGTAGGGGAAGTGCCCACGGAAGTTTTCATTTCCTGAGCTGAGTGGGACCCGGACCGGCCTCAACATGAAGAGTGAGTCTTGGGCTGGGGCTGGGGCTGGGGCTGGGGCTGGGCAGGGGGCAGGCCTCCCCGACCCCAGCCTGCGAAGGGCCAGGGTGAGCTTACATTCCCTGTCCCCTTCAACCTGCTGACTCGCTCCCCCTCCCCCCTCCCTCTCGCTCTCTAGTCCTGGTGGCTGCTGCAGTCGGAGGAGGTGAGTTACCTGGATCGCCTCCACCGCCAGGAGTTCACCTGGCTCCTGTCCCGGGGTGGCTGGGAGACCGTGGAGACGCTGCTGCCGGGGTTAAGAGGGCTGGCTCACCCCCTCAGCCTCCCTCCCGGAACTGGCTGGGTGAACCACAGGGGCAGAGAGTGTTAACCTAAACACCGTAATGCCTTACTTATTTCATCCCCACACTTACACACACACAAACCTGAGACCCATTAAGGGACAGTGACTTTCCCAGCGTCACACAGCACCTGGCTCCACACCCACCACCTCTTCTTCACCTTGGGACCCCACTCCAAGCTGCTGTCTTCCAAATGCTCAAGCCGATGGTCCCAGAAACTGTCGAGGAAGTCCTAAGGGGGTCTCTTCCCCTGAGCCCATCGTCCCCATCCAGCTTCTCTCCCCCACAGCTCTGGCCGTGGGGACTGTGCCGGTGGTGGTCGGTTCCCTGGGCTTCACCGGGGCAGGCATCGCGGCCTCCTCCACAGCGGCCAAGATGATGTCTGCAGCGGCCATCGCCAATGGGGGTGGAGTGGCCGCGGGTGGCCTGGTGGCTACTCTGCAGTCAGTGGGTAAGTGACTGGGGCAGGAAGACCAGAGGCAGGACGGGGATCCAGCCCAGGGGCTGAGCTCAAGGAGAGATCCTCTCCCTGCAGTCTGCGATCCTCAGCAGCCGGGTCCTTTGTCTCTCCCTCACCGTGCCTTCTGGCTCCTTCTGAGTGGGGTTTAAAGTGAGAGTGGAGGGGTGAGGAAGTGCTGGGTAGGGAGTGGAGGCAAGGAGGCCCAGGGTGCATGATGCCTGGGTTCTGGGTTCAGCTCTACCCACATCCGACACCTGGGAGACCTGGACAGGTCCCTCCCCTCTCTGGGCCTCATTGGCCTCCTGTGCAAAGTGAGGGACTTGCAGCTCTCGGGGTCTGTCTGTGGATGACTCTACATCTCTCAGTTCCTATGAAGTCACCTCTGTTCTCCCTTTCAGCTGCCTCCAGCAGCCTCTGCCCCAAGCAGAGCCCTGGGGGTTTCAGGACGCGGAGGAGGGATCCAGGTGGGATCTCTGGGCCTCAGGCCTCCTGAAGGGCCCCGGCCACTGCCCACTGCCCACTCCCCTGTGCTCACCCTCCATTTCCTCCCCAGGGGCAGCTGGACTCTCCGTGTCATCCAAAATCCTCCTGGGCACCGTTGGGTCCGTTTTTGGAGCCTGGTTGGGGGGTTCCAAAAAGTGAACAAAAACACCTTCTTCTCCTCCCCCAGCTGGACCTGAGGCTAAAGAGGACCAGCCAAGAGAAATTGTGCTCCAAATTGAACCTCCAAAACCCCCACTCAAGTCAGATAAACATGACAAATAAAGATCACATGCAGATGCACCTCCCCTGTCTTTGCTTCTTGCAGCTCTGGTTGGGGAGTTCTGAGCCAGAGGTTTCAAGGCCTCCCCATTCTCCCAGCCTGTGTTGTCGTGGAGGGGCAGAGGGAGGTGGCAGGTTGACCAAACACAGAATCAGCAGGCAGGAGGCTTTCATTGGTCCCAGACTTACAAGGGATGGGCAGTATGGTCTGGGGCCATTCGTGGACCTTCCGTGGGCCTCAGTTTCCCCCTCATTCATTGTTGGGGTTGCAGGTTCCTGTTGGGAGGAAGGGGTAAAGGGTAGCCAGGACACATTGTGAGCCACTGACCCCAGAGCCCTCTGTACTTCATTAATGGCACTAGACATCCGGCATGAGCAAGACACTGTCCTTTCCTTGCCTGAGTTCAAAGTCCAGTCGGGAGGGCCACAAGCACACCAGCAGGAAAAGGCAGTGTGCCAAGTGTTACATGTGGGCCCTGTGCACGGGGAGGGGAGGTGACTGAGTCAGGAACGGTCACCATGCTGTGTCTGGAAAGTTGAAAGGGAGATTGAGTTCACACATGAAGCTCTGCAACCCTGACCACGTTCTCACCTGAAGACTCCTGTCCTTGTGCAGGGATGGGTGCCATGGAACACAGAGGTGGGGGCCAGGAACTCAATGCCAGAAAGGAAACAGGCCCTCTGGAAACCGGGAGGTCTCAACTTCATGAGTGGGGCTGGGGAGGAGATCAGGACACAGTCCAGAACAATTGGGAGCTCTGGGTGACCTGCCTTGAAGGGCTGTCTGTCAGGCCTCGGCTGGGCTGGAGATCTGTCCATCCTTCCAGACTCAGGTCAGACCTCAGTGCCTTCCTTGTGGAGGGGCTTAGACTTCTGATTAATGCAGGAGCTTTTACCTGCTATTCCAATGAGTGCCTTCAGAGACTCTAAGGAATGCCCTGAAATTGAGGGCATTATTTGGGGACTGTGTGCATTTTGTGGGGAGACATTTCACAGCTTTTATCAGATTTCCCAAGGCATTAAAGAAAGGGGGAAAAGAATCACATATTGAAAGAATTAATACCCCAAGAGGTTTATTCCTATGGCTGGGTAGAAACCATGCTTCACTGACCCAAGTAGGAGCCACTTGAGAACACAAATGAGTTGAGTTGTTCAACTTTTTGAAATGTCCACATAGGGTGATAATTTTGGTTCTCCTTGGAAACCAAGAACTTGTCAGACTACTGACAGAGCCCGGGGCAGGGTGCACAGGGTGTAGCGTCTGTGATTGTGTGATTGGGTCACTGCCACATTGAAACCCTTCAGTGCCTCTCCAAAGCCCTCGGGATGAAATCCATGCCTTCCTCAACATGCCATCACCTCCTCTGGGCCCCCGGAGCCCTGGGCTGGCCTCTGGTGTGGCACTTACCTGAGGGCACTGTCGATGGCTATCTGCCAGTTCGTCCATCCCCCAGTGGACCATGCACGCTGCCTAGACAAAGGCCAGGTCATGTCCCTTAGCAGCCAGCCCAGTGCCTGACCACAGCACGTGATCAGAGGGTGTGTGGAAAGGAAGAGAGAATCAACGTGAGAGCGAATGTCCTGATGCCCTGGGGTGGAACCCATCCTAGGGATGAGAAGTTTCTACAGGGCCTTGTTCTGGGAGAGAAAGGACATTTAGGGACAAGGGCCTTGAAGCAGAAAGGTCAGAGCTGCCCTGACAAATTAACTTTTCCTGCTGGCTGCTGGGGGAACAAGGCCAGGGCAGGGGAGCCCAGGATGACTGTGGATATTGACTTTGGGATGGGACAGTGACATTCCTGAGCCTGAACCAGCCACTTGGGAAATAGCACCTGGATTTGCAGAGAGTTGGGGTTAGGTGAGTGTGCAAGGACATGGAGTTCTGGCTTTGGGGTAAGTGGCTCAAAACAGGACACCCCCCTGCCCCTATTCCCAACTTCTCATAAGAACAGAGCCAAACACCCACCCTGGCTGGGATCGTGGGGGTCATGTAGTTCCACTCCCCATTTAGAGGGGCAAACAGAGCCCAAGAGAGAAGGGGACCTGCCCAGGGTTCATACTAAGTCAACAGCAGGGCAAGAGACAGCTTCTGCCTTCCAGTTTAGATTCACTCCAGTTTGCCACTCCCCAGCTCTGTGTGATGCCATGGTCAGGAAAGAGGTTGAGCCTGACATGCCCCTCCCCGCCCCAAGTATCAGGGTGGTCACTGCTGGGACTGCCCCAACTGCAAGCAAGAGGGAAGGGTTCTGAGAGGAGTTGCAACAACTCAATTTTATTTTTTATTTTTCTCTAGGGGTGCAGCATTGGGTTCATTGTGTCCCTAGGATGGGTCCCTCGCTGAGTCAGCTGGCTGGCTGCACCCTCTGGCATTGCGTGGTCCTCTTCTCAGCAGGGGCAGGGAGCTATGCAAAGCCCACCACGCAGGCCACAAAGGCAGACTCAGCGGAGACCAGCATGAGTCTGCATCACGGGAAGAGTCAGGCCACTCCTGGGGAATAGGCGGCGGGTGAGCAGAGAAGGACATGCAGGCCGGGCAGCTCCGTGAGACAGAACTGTGGAGTCAGAGACTTCAGGGCCTCTCGGGGAGGCCTGAGGCCTAGAGACCCCAGCCAGCACCACCACCCCCCTTCCTAGAATGCCCAGGATCTCTGTTTCGGGAAGGGGTTGCTGCAGACAGCTGCCCAGTGGCACGAACCCCAGTGGTGGGCTCTCTGCTGAACCCCCACGGTGGGGAGATGCCCCAAGGAACCTGGCAAAGCTGCTTCAGGCAGAGTTGTCCTGACCCCAACCTGCCCCAGGCCAGGGCTCCTTCCACCCTCAGAGAAGCCCAGAGAGACAATGTGGAGGTGAGACAAAGGTACAGGGCCTGGCGATGGCAGGGCTGAGACCAGGGCTGGATCCTCGGAGGCTCTTGTCCTCCTCCTCGCCCTCCCCGGCAAGCCCTGCCCAGACACTTACTCACTGACCGCAGAGCAGCCATGAGGCTGCCCATGGCAACTCTGGTGATGGCGGTGGCCGCAGCGGACATCATCTTGGTCATGGAGCTGGCAGTGATTCCTGCGCTGGGGAGGCCAATGGCGCTGAGCACCACAGGCATGGCCACCAAGATCACAGCTGCGAGGAAGAGGAGCTGGGTGGGGGGCTGGGCTCGGGGGAAGGGACCCCCACACACTGGGTCAAGCTTGGGGGACCTCAGGGGTTCTGGAGAAGGAGGTGAGCTCTGAGTGCAGGAGAGACCATGGGCACGGCCAGGAGGCGGCAGTCGAGGGGGCATAGCCAGGTGGGGGAGCGGAGAGAGAAGCTGCCTTAGCGTCCATCTCGGTCAAACCCTGGAGCAATGGGATGGTTCGCAAGCCTCTTATCCTCACTGGGGAGCAAATCTTTTTATGGGAGCAAATCTTGCCCAGGAGGGAGCTAAGCAAGGAGCACACGTGGTGTTGCCCCAGAGCACACTGGAAGCCACTAGACCCAGGGGACCTGAGCTCTCTAATGCATCTACTGTGTTCAAACTCTGCTGTCTCATCCATGTCACCCTCGTGATAATCCTGAATCAGCATCAGTGGCCCATTTTTCAGCGGAGGAAACAGGCTCAGAGGAATTCAAAGACAAGGTCACACAGTGACAGGTCACACAGTGAAAGGTGTGCAAAGGGGAGATGGCCACCACACCCGCTTTTCCACACACTCCAATTCCCTGTCTCCAAGCTCCCTGTTTTGAGTTTCGAGCTCCTTATTTCTATTCCTTGTTTCCTACTGGTCTCCCTCATTCCAGCTCCTCCCGCGACTACCTGCATGAGGCTCCGGGAAACTTGAGTGTGGACAAGGGCCGCCCGCCCAGGCCCTGACCCCACCCACCTCCCCAGGGGCAGGTGGGGACTTGATGCCTTCCCTGCAGAGACTCACCTCCTCCAATCACAGCTGCAGTTTGGGCTAGAAACCAAAATACATTCTGTGAGTGATTCCACACTGGCCTCCCCTCCGCTGTCTGAGCCAACTGCCCACTGATGGCGGAGGGGTGCCCAGGCTGGGCTTCCAGGAAGCAATGACCCCTGCCTAGCTCTCCCTGCTTCACTCAGAGAAGCCAGACTTCTGGAGAAGGTGCAGACTTCTGGACAGATGGCTTGTCCCAAATGGATTTGCATGTTCTGACCCTGTTGGCTGCTTGTCAGTACGTGGAAGGTATACATCGGTTCTGCCCGAAAAGGTGGGCCATCTCAAAATGGGCGGTTACAGGTCATAGGTGGCTTTTAGGGATTTTTCTAGTTGGCAATTGGTTGAAAGAGTCAAGCTTTGTCTAAAGACCTGGAGTCAGTAGAAGGGAATGCTTGGGTTAAGACAAGGGGGTCTTCCGTCATGTGACGCTACACCAGATTCGGGTTGGAAAGTAAGCCACATTATACCAGGTTAATAAAACCCCATTTAATGAGATTTCATCGCTTATAGGGTTTGTAGGTGTGACTCACCAAGCCTCTTAGAGAGGAATTTGGGCAAGAGAAAAAAAAAAGTTCAGAGTTCAGTCGTCAGTGCTCTGGACCTGAGATGCAGCAGGACAGAGGGGTCCTGTTGACAAGGTAAAAACCTACAGGAGACAAATTCTGGCAGTGAATCCAGGGGAAGTGAAAGCTGAAGGGAGTGGGACTAAGCTGCAGACCCCCTCAGTCTAGGCAGAAGGAGGCCAGGTCTAGAGGGGAGGGGACCTGCGGGGCACCCAGGGCTGAGCCTTCTCAGAGGGAAAGCCAGGGAGGACACCTGGTTGGGGGAGGATGGGGGAGGAGGCGATGAGGCTGCCCCACCCCCCACCCACAGGTCCCTAGGCAGGACCCTGTGCTCACCCACCTGCCTCGTCACCCACAGCGCCAGTGTCCCCCAGGAACACTCACCCATGATGAAAGGCCAGCTCGGACACTGCCGCAGTCCTGGGGTGAGGGAAGGAGAGATGTTAGGGTGTCAGGGTTACCAAAGGACCTGCACTGGGGAAGGGCCCTGGGGGATTTTGTTTTCCCAGGTAGGCTGCCTCCTTCCTCCTGGAAGCCCCAGCGCCAACTCCTTAGACACTTCTGGGACTCCCTTAAGTCTACAGGGAGCAATTTAAAAGGCACAAAAATCGGAAAACATCGGAGCCAGTTACATTTTTAAGGCATATTCCTCGGTCAAGGTGCCTGCTCTTATGTATGTTATGCCCAGTAACAGGAGAAAGGTGGGACCCTATGTCCATTTTATAGATGAGGAAACATGGCCTGGCTCAGAGAGGGTAAGAGATTTGCTCGAGGTCAGGAGGCTTCTCACAGCAAAGCGAGACCCCACACGGGTCCAGCTGCTTCCAAAGCGTGGGCTTGCGCTGGCTCCTCCAAACACTTCTTCCCCTGCCCACTTCAGCCCCGACCGCCCTCAAGGCCTGAGGGAGACCTGAGCATGGACGAGGATCACTATTTCCAAGTTCCTGAGTCCAAGGGCAGGTGGGGGCTCAGGTCCCTTTCCCTCCGAGACTCACCTTCTACGATCACAGTCACCCTGAGAACAAAAAGACTGGTGAGAGAGTGGATGGACCAGCCTCCCCTCCACCAACCCACTCCCCACTGAGGTTGGGGGCCACTGCAGAGGGGCAGCCCCTGCCCGCCCTCCCAGTCTTACCCAGAGAAGAGAGTTCCCAGCACTGTGGAACTGACCCCACAGTCTGGAGCTTGGATGGGTTCCTGAAAGGTCTGCTTCCCGTGGTTTTAAGCAGCTCCGCCCCCACCGAAGCACAGCCTCAGGTGATGCAGGCAGCAAATGGGAAAAGTTTCAATTTCCAGGAAACCGAAACAGTGGACATCTTTCTCCTCTTTTCCAATCAAGGAGAAAATCTGATGATTACAGAAACGGTTACCCTGATTTGATCATTAGACATTGTATGCTTGTATCAAAATATCACGTGTGACCCATAAATATGTTCAAATATTATGTATCCAGGATAATTAAAAATAAAATTTTTTTTAAAAAAAGAAATGGGATTTGGTCACTATATCAATCATTGCCGGTTAATATATTATGCTTTGTCATTTAATTCAGGGACAGGAGTGTGCTCTATGTATAATAAAGTTCATGAGAAATATGATCGAAGTTTTATAATAAAAGGATAAATATTAGTTTCTAATGAAGTCAAGAAGGTGATTTCCAGAATAATATTAGTCCTTACAGTGGCCAGATGTTCAGTTGTTCAAAAAGTCTCTGCCAAAGGCCCACCTTGCTAGACACTGGCTAGGGACAGGACAGCGAAAAAACAGACCAAAATATCTGTCCTGACAGAGGTTACAAGCTAGTGAGGGCAAATTAAACAAGATAAATAACCAAATACATCATATATTATTTGATAATGTGCTGAAGCAAGAGGAGGTGAAGGAGCGGGCCAGGCAGAATCGTGGGGAAAGCCATTCCAGGTGGAAGCAATGGCAGAGAGCCCAGGGGTGAAGAACAGCAAGGGGACTGGTGTGGCCGGAGCAGGTGAGCAAGAAAGACAGGCAGGGGCTGAGGTCAGAGGTTAGCAGGGGTCAGGCCATGTGAGGCCTCGCCAGCACTACAAAGACTTGGTCTCGTGCCCTGAGACTGGAAGCCATCGCAGGGCCTGAGAAGTGACATAGTCAGGTTCACTCTGCCACTGCTTTGAGAACAGATGGAAGAGAAAGCATCAGGATTTCTGAATTTTAAATGTAAAGATTCCACATTAGTGATATGAAAAGTGTAAGATTCAAAATGGAGTCACTTGTGTCAAACCCTGGCAAATGGTGCCAGGGAAGGGCAGGAAGGGTAGCTTGTCATGCATGATTTGCCTGGTAACCAGAAACTATCACAAGAAATTTTTCCAAACCACAGCTTATTACATGAGCAACACAAGGACAGTTGGCAGCACGAGAATACCTGCCTGACACACTGTCTCACAAACCCAGTCCAAGACTACAAGGCCCGAATTGTAACTCCAAATTACGAGTCCTACCTAACAACTACTGACACTCGCCAATCAAAACTCGCCAGCTCTTGAAAGACAGTGCAGGGCCAGTGAACTTTCTTTCAAAACAATCTGCATTCCTCTTTCCCTTAAAAACCCTAACCTTTTCCTTTGATCTTCAGATGCACTGGAGGCCACCATGGTCTGTCCTGGATTGCAATCCTACTTCTTGTATATTATTCCCAAATAAAATCTTTTCACTTAGAGATGCGTCTCTCCCTGTTTTTTTATGTTGACAGCAGTGTGACATCAACGTGTAGTTTTAGTGAGTTCACACTGCACCAATGGCAATCTGCAGCCCTGTTCAGAAATCCACACACCCCGGTGCAGCTACAACACCAGCACCAGAGAATTTGCTAATTAGCATAATGAATGTATGTACATGGCATCATCAGTCTCCGCATCCTACCCAACTTTGGGTCGGGGGTCATCCTGTTGCTGAGGCTGAAATCGCTTCTGGAGCCATGACACATGGCCAGCAATGTGGACTTGATCCAATAATTCTACAAAATTTCAAGAGTAAATTCTATTTCTCTTTTCCAAAGCATCTATGACCATCTCCTCTCGGCCACCCTCAGATGATTTCTTATTTCATCAAGAAATTAGAAGCAATCAGAAAACAAATCTCTTCCCAACATCAAATCCAGCCTCCAGCAACTGTATCCATACACTCCGCCTTCCCTCCATTGCTGTGGATGAACTATCCCAGCTCCTAAAGGTTTTATCCCCTCTTGTCTACTCAAAGACTTGATCTTGCAACTGCCCACTGCCTTTCCTGAATTCCCAAGAACACAGAACTGAGCTTAGTTGTGTCCCAGGGGATCTGACTCCAGATGCTTTAAGCAGCTCCGCCCCAACCGAAGCTCAGGCCCAGGTGAGGCAGGCAGCAAATGAGATAGATTTTGTTTTTGCAGAAAACTGAAACTGCGGACATTTTCCTCTTCTCTTCCCCAGCGAAGGGGAAAATCTAATTATTATAGAGATCAATTTTCCATTCACTGTCTTGACCCCAAGATCTCACCAACTGCCATACACTTTCTCTGCTGCCATTACAGCAAATTGCTTTGGGAGACATGTACACCTGCTCTCCTCTTTCTCAGCTTACAGGCTCTCTTAGAAAGATGCATTGTATATAACATTAATATAAAATATCTTCAGGCATCTAAAAGGCTATTGATGATAATATAACACTTACATGCCCACCACTCAGATCAAGAACTCAAACATTACAGAAACAATTAAAACAACCTGAGAATCTCTTCGTAATCTTTCTCTGTTTCCCTCTCCAGGATTTACAGCTGGTTTTTCTCATGCATGTTTTTATACATTTCCCATATAAAATGTTAAATGCAGAACTTCCTTGGCATTTGCTGGACGGTCATTGGCATTTCAGCACAAGGTCAAAGGTAGGAAATGGTAAGGATAATGTGCCAAGAACCTCCCCTTCCTAACCTTTGCCTGGAGGGCATGCTAAGAAACTGTAAAACTAGTTCTAAAAGAAGTAGAGGAAATAATTAGGGAGTTGAGATTGCAGAGAGAGGAAAGAGAGAGAGGGTGAAAGAGAGAAGGAGAGAGAATTGGTGGGCTGCGCTTTTCCCTGAGCCCCACGGATGAGAGAAGGGGAGATGCTCTGCCCGCCCAGAGCTAAGTGGGGCCCACTTGGAAAGCTTGACTTGAATCTCTTGCAATTTGAGGGCAAGGAGGACGGCTGTTTGAGTTGGGCCTATAAAGTCTACAGGCAGGAGACTATGGTTAGAGGGCTGCCCTGAGACGGGAGGGTAAGCAGGTTACTCTGGGGGCGAGCTGCCCGTTTAGAGTTTGGCACTGTTTCCCGTGGGCCAGAAGTGGCACCTGCCCAACGGAGCTGAGAAGCATTTGGCCGTGGGCACTGCCCGGAGTGTGGGGAGGATCCCAACAGCGGTGGGCTGTTGGAGAGCAGCAGCCAAGGAGTCCAGCCGCGGAGGCCTCCCCTGGCCGAGGACACTGCGGTGACGGACCCCTGCTGATCAAGGACAGACGAGGTAGCGGTTCGAATCTTCCCCAGCAGAGGGCGCCAAAGACAGCTCGCAGGGCATCTCGGCGCGTCTGGGTAACTGACAAGCACCGCGCTAAGGCTGTGCACGTGTTAATACTAAGTATTTGAATCCTCACGGCAGCCCCATGAAGAGGTACCACTACCCCATTTCACAGATGAGCAGATGAGTCCTGGGGAGGTTCTTTGCCAACTCCCCACGGGGCCCTCCCAATGGCCATTTTGCGGGATGGCCAATGCTCTCCCCGCCCTAGTGCGGCGGACCCTTCTCTTTCCCAGCCACCCCGCACCCCACCCCGCCCCCGCACCACTGCCTCTGTCTGCTGGGGTGTCCGCACCTAGGCGGGTACTTCTCTTGCTGGGTTTGCCTGGGTCCTTTCAAGACAACTCCAGTCCGTTCCCTCGGCAGAACCTCCACGCAACCCTGAGCAAGGCAGCCTTCTCAACCTGCCAAGCACAAACAGCCCCAGCCTCTCCCTGGACATCCCCTGCTCACCCGAGAATGGGCAGCTCTAGAAAGTCTCTGGCCAGGCGAGTGGCAGGTACAGGCCTAAGGATCTCGCAGGTACCCTAACCCCTTGGGCTCCGAGAGAGGAACCAAGAAAAGCCAAAGCACCCTCCAGCCTCATGCTGAAAGCTTCCTGAGGACAGGGGCTGTGTGGCACTAACCAATGTGTCACAGCACTGAGCAGATGAGAGGGCACTCAACAAATATTTGTTGAATGTATTCTTTTTAAAGTATCTTTTCCAAGGAACCCAAGCCCTCCCTCCTACAGGTTACATGTGCATGACAGGGGATGACAGCCATGGGACTTGCTTTGCTCTCTTAAGATAATCCCCAAAGGGGCATGTCCAGCAGCTGTCTTCCAAAGTGGGGATCCTCGTCCCCCACGGATCTCAGCTTTCAGGTTTATGTTGAAATTTCTTCAAAATAGGGAATGTTCCTTTAACATCCAGCTACACAAGTGCTAGTAAAATAGGGAAAAGGCTAAATAAAATGTAGTGTGTGATTACTATAGAATACTAAGCAACAATTAAAAATAACGAAAAAGACCCATAGAATAGAAAAAAGCCAGCAGCAGAACGATATGTATTAGGTAAAACAAAACAATATCAATAAAAACATATGACAGCACTATGCAAAAGGTTTTTCTCTGGAGATATCTATATATCTCTATCTCGTCTATCATCTATTGACAGAAATAACTTTAAAAGGGCATGGAGGGCTAAAGGCCTAAATGTGAGACTCAAAACTCCCAGAAGAAAACATAGGGGAAAAGATTCATGACATTGGACGTGGCAATGATTTCTTGGATATAACAGCAAGAGCACAGGTAACAAAAACAAAAAGGACAAATGGGACTACCTCAAACTTTAAAAAAAATGTGCATTAAAGGACGTAATCAGCAGAGTGAAAAGACAACCTGCAGAATGGGAGAAAATATTTGCAAACTATATATCTGATAAGGAGTTAATATCTAGAATATACGAAGAACTGCTAGAACTCAACAACAAAAATCAAACAACCCAAATTAAAAATGGGCAAAGGACTTGAATAGACACTTCTCCAAAGAAGATATACAAATGGCCAGCAAGCATATGAAAAGATGCTTAAGATCACTAATCATTAGGGAAATGCAAATTGAAACCACAATGAGATACCACCTCAGACCCATTAAAGAT